AAAACAGTGAGACTGCCCCAACCAATACATGCACACTCAAAATTATAAAATTCACTGGTTAAATAAATGGTAACTCTACAGTTTAAAATTAATGCCCTGTTCACACGGAGAGTTTAATTTGAATTAAACATAAAGTTACTGCGAATTAGCTTCGCTTAGCGTTCACACGGAAAATTTAATGCGAAATAGTTTAATTCGAATTAGTTTACTGCGCATTAAATTACTTCGCATTAACTCTGTGTAAACGCTAAGCGAAGCTAATTCAAATTAAATTTTGATGCATGCGTTAGGCCAGAACTAAGTCACAGGACACGTGTTGGTGGTTATATATAGGTATTTGTGCTATATTTGGTTAAAAAATTGAGGGAAAGTATGTTAATCACTAAAATCAATGAATACCTGTAGCCACTACATGATGAATCAAATGGATGGCTCTGCATACATGATGTGATTTACAAATGACGTCATAATAGACTTACTTATGCCTGACTGTAGAAGTAAAGTTTTAATTCACAGTAGTTTACTTCGCATTAGCTGTCGTGTGAACACAATTTAATTCGCATTAATTTGATTCGCATTAGTTTACTTCGCATTAATTTACTGCGAATTAAACTTGTCGTGTGAACAGGGCATATAAGATGAATTGTCATTTTTGTAGGCATAAGGAGATCAGTCTTTAGAATGAGTAATTTGTGAATTGTATGGACTTGCATGTACATCTGTTCAATAAATTACAATAAAGCCTGGGTGATAGGAATTGTACTTCTCAAACTCAAAAGTACACACTGTACATGTTTTTACCCATCAATATGTAATATGTCCTCTAGTTTACAAGTTTATAAGGCCCAAGAAGCTTCTACATTCCATCCCTTCTAGATATGTAAGATAGGTACATTTGATATAAGAGATAATCATATAGGCCTGAATGAATACAGTAAAAAAGCTAAGATTTACTGTGATAATTTTTTTTAATGATGGTCAGGAAAATTACTAAGAATACAAAGAAATCCCATGGTGGAAATAAAATGTATTTCATCATTAGGAATAATATTTTATGTTGAAGTAAAAATTCAGGCACATTCAAAACTTGTGTAACAGGAAAGGAGAAAATGTGTGGTTGGACCAGGAATTGAACCCAGGAACCCCGCTTTACTAGTCAGGTGCTCTACCGAATGAGCTACCCAGGTTGATACCCATAGCACAACCATTACATATCCTTCCTTAAAATTATCTTCATCCTTGCAGACACAAACCAAATTCTTATTAGCCCCTGACAGGAATTTCACCTGCAAATCCAGAGGGGTCAGTACATGTAGCATCAAATCTGTAACAAGGAAGGAGAAAATGCACGACTGGACCGTGAATTGAAGAAGGGACCCCTGCATCATTGGTCAGATGCTCTACTGACTAAGCTTACTAGGCCTATATCCAAGACCCATATAATTACACTTGCATAAACTTAAAAGTATTTCATAATATATTGATTGATATTACAATACATATCTGTCAACCATCATTAACTAAAATCAATTGAAAAAAAATCAAAACTGTTATTCACCAGTGACCACAATGAAGTAATTTTTGAAAACCATTATAAATGACTAAAACCAAATATAAATGACTGTTAATGGTGTTTAAATTTCTAAAATTTAAAATTCTAGTTTTCCTGCCGGCAATTATAGTTGCCAGCTAGGAATAAAACTTTTAAAATAAATGCCAAATTTCTCACAGAGTGAGAAGTATTGTGGGAGGAAAGTTGATGAATATGTTTACTATACAGATAACACGGAGAATTGCATATTCTTCAATAAAAGCACAATAAAAAAAAATTAAAGTGATTGATATGAGAATTACTAGAGTATATTTAGGGCTGTTAGATACCAGTCATTAGAAAATAAGACCTCAATAACTTGTGTAATTAATATGTTTTTTTTTTTTTAATTTATTTAACATATTGACTGCTTTAATTTGAAAATGTATACGAGTACATGTAACAGCAATTAGTTCATTGTTGTGCCAACTTGCTCCAAGATTTCCCGCCCTCGAAAATTGCATATTCTTTGATGATCATATTTTCTTATATAATTGCCAATATTTCTTAAAATAATCTCTGGTTTTATATTTACAGGCTAATTGAATCTTCAATTTATACTCTTTTTAGTTAAAATCTGAAAAAAACTCCATTAACTTAAATCAGAATTCACTTAAACCTACATGAATATATCCCTTACTCAGATAAGTATACAATGACTTTTCACAACATAACGGTTTTATAAAACATTGACTTTATCATTAAGTTACTGTTTAAATTTAATTTTTTTTTACAAAATATTAAATCTAAAATTGAATTTTAAAGCAATTGGTTTATTTTTTCATCAAAGTGCAATATTTTCTTTGAAAAATATAGTTAAAAAGCTAAAAAATCATTTTAAAATATATTTTTTTGAAAAGTCGGTTTCCATGGCAACATAATAATAAAAGATTTTTTTAAAAAATTATCAATTAATAAAACACAACATTTACTAAATATTTGCCAAATTTCAAGCAAATTGGTTGTCAACAATTTTAGATATTTGCATTTTAGTACACCACTGTGATAATTTTGTTGATATTACAAAACAACTCAGTCCTGAGGTTACAGCTCACGTAAAACAAGTCAGCACACAAAGGGTTAATATCGAAATTTCATTTGAAAAAAAAGTTTCATGCGCTAAAGGTTAATTTAAATAAAAAAATGCATATTTTAATAGTCCTTTCGAATACTAAAGGTATACCGGTATATAATTCAAACACTATCAATATTTTCAAAGTACCATAATACAGTTTCTGTGTACTATGTTCAGTAAACATCAAAGGATCAAAAGTTATTTAGAAGATCGCCATGAGTCCCAAACAAGGTGTTCAGGGTATACACAGGGACCAGTAAGTTTTTGATTAATATTTGCTCTGTGTACACTTCGATATGGTAATGCAAGATACATATTACATCATGCAATCTAATTAAAATTAGATGTTAGATCTGCTTGCATACTCGCTACACTAACATCTAACAACATCCCATAGAGGGTCACATCAGAGGTCAAATTCTATCAACCAATCAAATCTTCGTCTGCAAAATCATGGTATATTTGTTGATGAAATCGAAGTGGAAAAGTATAGAGATGTTCTGAATTTGACCTCTGATGTGACCCTCTATGAGATGTTGTTGGATGTTAAGTGTAGCGAGTATGCAAGCAGATCTAACATCTCATTTTAATTAGATTGTACATCATGTGACGTCAGAGTCTATGCAAAGCAAATGAGCCCAATATGAATTAAAACTGAATTAGTATCTGCACTCACCCTAACAGCCACACCATGAACACATAATTTTAATGGATGTAAGTAAATTCAGTCAAAGGTTGTTTTGACATTCAACATACCAATACCTTGGCAATACCAGATCACACCTAATTATGCTAATATTTTTTTTTTTTCAATTTTTATATTATGATCAGGAAGATTGAAAACTGCGCACATGATCAATTATATTGTTCATATTAAACATACCAGTTCAATTTTCTGCAAATATAGCTTCTGAGACCAAATACTTGTGCTCAAGTTTGTGACTTTTTCAGTCCATCTTTTCCTCACAAGAACTGAAATACAAATATAATTTCTTTAACCATAGTACACACAGTCAAATCACAGGCACCTGAATTTTTATGTGGTCAAATTGTGGAATGATCATGATGATAATTCATAACCTTTTGTCACTTAATTAATCAAGAAATGTTTAACCAGGATATCAGTATAACAAAAAAAAAATTAAAAACAAAGTGATAAAAAGGATACGTACAATATTGTTCCGACGTAAATAACTAAATATCTGTACCGAAATTGATGAGTAATTTCTCAAAAATAAAATTACGAAAATTTACAAAGCGCTTATATCACCAAGATTGATTTTGACAACCAGTCGTCCACAATATATTCGACTCAGCTTTTGTCCGACTTACCCAATAATACCAACCGGAAGTAGGTTTATTAATTTGGCTCCCATTTCGAATCGCAAAAGCGATGGATGTGTGATTTTTTGTAGAAAATTTTATTTTGTAACATGTCAGACAGAAGAAAAAGTAAGAGAAGATCTAGTTTAGCAGCCAGTAGGATCCAACTTCAGTATGAGAAGGCAAAAATAAGTTCATCTGGTGGTAAGATCCTTCCTTGGCTTGCGCTTGCATAGACCATATATCAACTATATCATAATTCACACCGTCAAGCTCTCGCACACACAAATGAAGACAGTTCAGTGGGTAGACTTTACTTTACTGGTTCCCAGATCCGCAAGAACCCCATACTCATTGAACTATGAAGTAACATATAAGTCACTCAACTGATAAGGGTTAGTCTTGCACCTTATTCCATAGATAGAATGTTCTATCGTTAAAATGATATTGTCCTACGGACCCGGTTTAACGATAGAATTCGTTCCGTGTATTCGTAATGTAGCAGAAAGAAACACGGGCGATAACTCGCATAGTGCATTTACTTGGAACAATCTAGAGAGTTCGGAATGTAAACATGGCCGGTAATTTGAATCGAGAGAAAAACGTTGAGAAAATTAATTGGATTTTCGTATTTATATGGATTATTTTTTGGGATAAAAGGCATAAGCAATCTCAAGAAGGTTTGTTTTGATTATTTTGGTAGTTATTCCCAGTGCAAATCATTTTATATTCTTCAAAATCGTTTCGGAGCGGATCCACTCCGATTTGCTACATTACAAGTATATGGGACGTATTCTAACTGTGGTGAGGGCCTGTACCGAGACACAGTTAGATTATTCTAACTACTTATTCCACTGATTAGGGTTAGTCTTGCACCCATCTGAGAGATAAGGGTTAGTCCTTGCACAAGTATTCGACTAGTTAGGGTTAGTCTTGCGTCCATCCAAGAGATTAGGGTTAGTCCTTGCACACTATTTATTGTTAAATCTAGACCCTAAAAAGGGCATGGTAATCCAAGAATCAAAAGGGCACTTTGCGTCGCGACAGCATCTTGTGAGGGCACTTTTTAAACAAGTGTAAAAATCTTTGAAATTTAAACATTTACTATTTTTTACATACTTTAACATGTTTAATAACTTTTAATATCAATTCATAGTGAACATGCTGAAATCTTTATTTAAAAAAAAAGATTAATTTAAAGTTAAATTCATATATCTGTGTTCAATTCATTTTTGAACAGAATGCCAACACAATAGACCCTTTCAAGGTTAGTGGACGCCATCTTGGATTGGGGGCATCACGCGACTATCGTAGCTAACGTAAACAATTGCAGCTGATGCAGATGCACCGCATCAATTTTTGTGTAGCGATCGCTTCACAGTCATTGTCATTTAGAACTGAATGTATACGTATTGTAAGCAACATATTTTAGTCTAAAAAAGAACATTTTCTTTATTAATTGGTGTTTATTTACCTTAGATGAACTGCAATATTACAACGTGCATCATGTAAAACGTGCGGAGATAGAGTGCTTATGTTACGTTACTATCTATCCTCTTCTTACATTTTAAGCATAAAATATTTGTGGAAATCAAAACAAAAGAAGGTTTAAGCATAAAAACACTCATTTACATTTTATTGTTACTTGGATGATTTTTTTAAAATTAATTTCTTTAATATCTATACCACTAACGCGGGCGGATCCAAATGAGAATATTGAGAAGTACTGAATGAATAAAAGCCCATAAAAACATCTGTAAATAGACAATATACTTAAAAAATAATATTTACTTTAATATAATGTTTTTAGCTATTTTATTGAGACAACTTTAAAAAGGTTTTAATTAATTAAATTCAAAAAATAAGAATATAAACTATGTGTAAAATTATACAATGATTTAAAAATATGTTGCATGTATATATCAATGATTCAATGTCAAAATTGCAACTTCAAAGTAAATAATTTACACAAATTTATTTAAACAGTAATTTTTAAAAAATAATTTTAATCATATAAAAAAAAATTGTCTGTGTCATGTGCACTGTGTGTGTAAAATTCTGCTTAACTGTTAAAATTATTAAAATAAGGTTTACAATGCTTTTTACAATTTTTTGGACCTTAAAAGCTATACAACATTTAGACTGTGTATTGACATTAATAGTACTTCAACAGTTGTAGCTTCTGACTAGTGATGCAAAGTCTCTGATTCGATACTTGGTTATCTAATGCTTAATTCCATCATTAACATTTATTAAAACAGAAAACAATGTTAGTTTACCAGAATCAAGATGATACAAGAATCTAAATACATGTACACATGTATACATGTATACATGTATTGAAGACCTTTCCTTTGTTTAGGACTTCATTTTGTTAATATGATATATTCAATTACAATGTATTGATATTTCATCCATCACTTGTGTATATTTTTGTAACAATACAATCCGACTTCCCTTTTTCTATTTCATGCACATCTAACAAAAAATCTATGAGCCAATGCTCACCAGTTAAACCCCTGCTCTGATGTGAATATACAATATTATATCAATAAATTCAAGTACAGTTACAGGCAGATGCACGGATCAATAGGAAGTTGACATCCAATTCATACAAAAATGAAATCCCACCAAATGGCATGCCTCAGCAAAGAATGTGCTAAACTTTCAAGCATCTGTGATGAGTAGTTGCTGAAAAAAATAGTACATGTATTTGACTGATTAGGGTTGGTGTAGCATCTGCCCGGGATTTCGGCTAAATGTCTTAGTCCGTGCATACTGTCTAAGAGATTAGGGTTAGTGACTCTTTCTCTTAAGAAAATTAAGAAATTCAGTTGCTTCTGTAATTTTGCAAGGTCATAATTCAGTTTCAAAGCCATTTCCTTGTTTTTTTTTACATGGAAGAATGGTTTAGTCCGAAAGAAATAACACGAAGCATTCGTTAACAATTATTTTTTGTCAATTTTTTCAATGAATAAACAATATTTATTAATTTCTTTGGAAAATGCGGTTAAAAATGAAGTTTTAAACTAAACTTTTAACCGTAGAATTCGATTTTTGGGGTCAACAGTCAGCATGGTCAGGGGTGTGACTGAAATCTGTCATTTTTTAAATGACGGATTGTCGTCATTTTTTAAACTACGTAGTTCCGTCATTTTCGTAAATATGATGAATTTTTGTCATACTTTTATTTTCAACATAATTCCTCTATCTTGGTTGTTTAAAATCAAATTTTGAATTTCCCGCTTTAATGGTAGTGTTAACGCGAGTGTTAACGTGAGTTTCCTTTCATCTGGGTCACTAATTCCTGCCTACCACGTTCGTTAGAACACAGGAGTTTGCGTACCTATCAATTTTACCGCAAATTTCAGTACCGTAAATATAAAAAATACGTAATACCTTTAATAATAACAATAAATTATTTACTGAAATTTGAGGTAAAATTGATTACGTATTTTTTTATTTACTGAAATTTGCGGTAAAATTGATAGGTACGCGAACTCCTGTGGTTAGAATATCAACACAGAAGGTGAAAGTTTGAACATCAACATAGAAGGTGAAAGTTAGAACATCAACATAGAAGGTGAAAGTTATTATTTAGCGGTAAAGTGTCGAATTTTGGCAGTTATTATTATAGGTATTACGTATTTTTTTTATTTACTGAAATTTGCAGTAAAATTGATTACGTATTTTTAGCTCACCTCAACGAAGTTGGGAGAGCTTATGTAATACCCTCGGCGTCCCCGTCGGTGTCGGTGTCGGCGTCCCAGGTTAAGTTTTTTGGAGCAGTTTTCTTTTAAAGTACTTCTATGACCTATATTGATTAGACATGCATGGAAGATGTTTCTAGTGTGTTTCATTGTACCAGTCAAAGTTTCAGATGCTGCAATTTCAGCAAAGGAATGACCAGGTTAAGGTTTTTGGAGCAGGTTAACATTTTTGGTGCAGTTTTTGGTGTCGGTGTCATTTCCAAGGAACTATAAGCCCTATGTTGACCAAACTTTCATGGATGATACATCTAAGGATGCACGCTACCAGGCTTGCTTCGGATGCTGAATCTGACCTACATTTTCCAGTTGAGTGAACAGGTTAAAGTTTTGGTGCAGGTCTCATTTCCAAGTAACTATGAGCACTATAATGACCAAACTTGCATGGATGATACATCTAAGGATGCACACTACCAGGCTTGCTTTGGATGCTGAATCTGACCTACATTTTCCGGTTGAGTGAACAGGTTAAAGTTTTGGTGCAGGTCTCATTTCCAAGTAACTATTAGCACTATAATGACCAAACTTGCATGGATGATACATCTAAGGATGCACACTACCAGGCTTGCTTTGGATGCTGAATCTGACCTACATTTTCCGGTTGAGTGAACAGGTTAAAGTTTTTGGTGCAGATCTCATTTCCAAGATACTATGAGCACTATAATGACCAAACTTGCAGGTTTCATACATCTTATGATGCATACTACCAGGCTTGCTTCAAATGCTGAATCTGACCTACATTTTCCAGTTGAGTGAACAGGTTAAAGTTTTTGGTGCAGGTCTCATTTCCAAGATACTTTGAGCCCTATTTTGACCGAATTTGCATGGATGGTACATCGAAGGATGCATGCTACCAGACTTACTTCGGATGCTGAATCTGACCTACATTTTCCGGTTGAGTGAACAGGTTAAAGTTTTTGGTGCAGGTTTCATTTCCAAGTAACTATGAGCCCTATAATGACCAAACTTGCATGGATGATGCATCTTAGGATGCACACTAATGGACTTGCTTTGGATGCTGAATTAGACATACATTTTTCAGATAATGGACCAGGTAAAAGTTATGGGTGAAGGTCTACTACCAAAAAACTATAAGGCTTATATAACATTGTATAAACCAAACTTGCACAAATGATGCATCAAGGGATGAAAACTCTCAAATTTGCTTCAGATGATGGATTTTAATTACATTTTCATGAAAAAGAACTAGTTTGAAGTTT